GTCCACCAATCAAACCCCTTACCGGGCCCGAACTCCATAATAAACACTGGTGGTAATACTCGAGTATACCGATTAGTCGAGAAGATAACACTCCACTCGACATCACTAACTACCCAGAGTTCGTTATCTAATTGACCAGGCTCTCGCCGGCTCGACTCGACTAACTAGCCACCGGGTTTCTGGAATTCCAGACAAGATACAATTAATATACATGTATAGCAAGTCAATTGCAATCGATGAACAAGAACAAATCACATTAGAGCAAGTGCGATAAAGTACACTCTTGCCCTATCAATTCACTCATATATATCATGTAATCACATTGGACAAGTGTTACACACAAATATCAAGTTCAATCAGATATTTGGAAGTACTCACCAAAATGTAGTGCCTCAGTGATCACGTCGAGGTTGTACTCCGGGTTTGGAGTCCAAATCTGCGATAAAACTTTATTTAAGAACTTTGAAAAGTGACTAAGGTTCGAAACTTAAATGTTTCGTTCAATAAGAACCAAGTAATTGAAATTCGTTTGGAGAATATTCGTGAAACACTTGCTCGCTTTTCAAACTATGAAATTTTGTAACATTTATACTTGGAAATACCATTTGAGTCGAAAGTACGAGGAAAACATATTTCTAATAGTCATTATTTCATTTTCCAAGGGCACAAGGTCGGCCAAGTTCTAACTTATATAACTTAATAAAGAAAACGCGAATATCCCAGATGGTTCAAGTGATATTCGCTCTCAACCCTTACTCACGTTGCAAGTATATCTACCTAGCCCTTGAGTTTAAATTTGGACAGCACGCCCTTTGTATTTACCTATTTTCCAGCCATTTATGGCTTCATTCTTTTCCTCAATCAATCCCAAAGTCGCACACAAAATCATCTCATTTCAATAGCCATTTCATAGACTCAAAGTCATACAAGTACAAAATCAAGCTAGGAACATGTGCGGAAATGAAGTTTGAGTCAAGAAACAAAAGACAAATTTGACGTTGTTTTGCGTAACAGACACAACCAAGGCTACGCTTATCGGATTGAGGTAAAATTTATACCGTTTCGAAGCTAAGACAGAGCGCTACAATTTTGATGAAGACCACTTACTCCAGTTTCTAGTGTATCCAAGTCATATTCCCAATTTACAGAACCGGATTCCTACCAACAGGCTAGTTAACTGCACTACATTCAAATGGCCATAACACAAGCTACCGAAGTCCGATTAAGGCGTTCTCAGGGGCGTTGGAAAGCTAAGACATAGTACTACAACTTTCATGTTTTGGCTAAATACTAGTTCAGTACATATCATGGTGAAAAGACACGACCAGATTGGTGAAATATCCAAAACTGATCACTGGATTCACCTGGGGCAGTTAGTGATGGTTATACCATCACTACCACCTCTTATACCAACTTATATATATCATATACCCCCATACAACAAGTATGATAAGTGAATCATTCAAACCCTAACTCAAATTCACCACCCCAACCATCCAAAATCGCTTGATATAAGTATTACAACCACAAATACAAGCTACTAAACAACTCCAACATGATTAAGGAAAAAGAAAAGAGTGGTCAGCCATATTACCTCAAAAACAAAACTTGCTAGAGTTATCCTCCACTTTTCCTTGAATTTTTTGGTTCCTTAAACTTCCCAAGCTCTCAACCTACAAGCTAATCGGTTTAGTTTTTCTTGGTTTCGCTCACAACTCTTGATTTGAGCTTGGAAATAGAAACTCTCTTCACTCTTTCTCCCTCTCCTTGCTCTCGGCCAAACAAGAAAAAAAATGGTGAAGAAATGAGATAAAATGAAGATAAGAAGGTAAGAAAGTTGGCTTGGTCAAAGGGCCTTAAATGGCCAACACTTGTCACACTTAAGTTCTCACAATTTTTTTTCTTTTCTCTCTCTCTTGGGGTCAAGAATTTCGGCTGCCTTGAAGGGTATTTTGGGATGATTTTTACTGAAATAAAAGTAAGGAGATTGAGGTAATAGAGTAGTGTTTAAGTGGTGTGTTCAATCGGTAGCGCGCGACACCCGTCGGTCCGAACCGTTTTTCCTTAAATCGCGTATACTAGGGATTTAACTTATAATTTACTACCTCATTATTACTACTTCTAATCCCACACTTAATATCATCTAAAACCAACTTTTAATCACCAAATTTGATTCACCCTCGGTATCGGATAGTCACCCTACGGATAGACGTAAAAACCCTAATTCGCGCTAACTTGAAAATGAAAAGGGTGAACCCTTAATTCTATATTCATTTGCACTTATTGTGGGGTGATTGAGTAGTAGGGCTATTATAAAGTAATATTTTTCAAATAAAAGGGGTTTTTAAGAAAATATAAGGAATTTGCAAGTCCTCACACACAGGAACATATTCCAGTTTATACAGTGAACAGTCACACAGGCAAGAGTGTGATAAAGTACACTCTCGTCTCATTCAGAACAAACAGAGTTCACAGTCATTCAAGTCACAGATTTCAAGTACAAATAAACCAGTTAAGCAACAAATCAAAGGAGTGGTACACTCACCAGTTCAAGCGAAGATAACTTCAAAAGTTTTCACCCAAGGTAGGGTTTTGATCACCGAGAAACCCTAAAATAACCAAGATAAACAATTATGGTTCCCACATCCACAAACCTAGTAAACGGAATGCACAATTGAGGCTTGACTACGAGTCGTAAGCCTATCCGAATGAACTACGAATGCAAAGATACAAAAGTGTGGATTCGGGGTGGAAAAAGTAATGGTTGGTTCTAAAACACGAACAACCCCAAAGTCCTTCATATCTCACCAAATAAAAATTCCAAAAACCAACCACAATCAAGCTGCTCATCCATCATAGATAGTTTCTTTGCTCAAATCCAAGTCCTAGATCACAATTATCACGTCAAGCAAAGGAAATTCTAAAATTATCAAATTCCTCTCACCTTTTGGCATTTTAATCACAACTAAAGCTTCACTTAACGGATTGAGATGAATCTTATGGCGTTTCGATACTAAAACATAGACCTACATTTCCTATGAAAATATCGACACCCAATTCTTGCATTTTCAAGGTCAAAAATCAAAATCTCAGAGAAAACAGAAAACTATCCACGAAACAGTGCATTTGGCAGTCAGGGGTATTTTAGTCATTTCACATGTTACAGTGCTCCGATTGAGTTGAAATTTTGCAGGTAGCTAGTTAACTCCATCCCCTACAACTTTCATGTTTTGACCTAGGCCTGATTCGGCCTCTAACATAGACAAACATAGAGGTCAGTAACAGGGCAAATTCATTCCCAAATGGAAACCCTAATCTGAAATTGATACACAAACTGAAATTCTTCGTAGACAGGTAAAACTAGCATATAAAAGCTCAATATTACACATAACAAAGCTATCAATCCAAAGCAAATGCTCAAGCATCAAATAAGAGCAGAAAATTAACCATAAAACTGAAATTTCCCACATCACCACCTCAAGTCATCATATATCTCATAAAACTACATATTTTGAACTCCAAACCACAAGTATGCTAGTATTAGAAGTAAAAAGGGATATCTTAGCAAAGTTACCTAGTAACCTCAAGAAAGATCGTAGCTTAGGGTTTCTTCTTCCAAAATCACTCCACCAACCCCTTTAATCCTCCTTAGTGACTGCTTGTATGGAGTGATTTGCCATTTGGTTGGTTAAAACTCAAGATTCAAGCTAGCAAGTGAGGTAGAAAATGAAGTTTCTCTCCTTATTTTTCTCCTCAAGAAATTCGGCCAAGGAAGACAAGAAAGTGAAAGAATTTTTGGTCAAAATTGGAGTTTAGAAAAGTTAAATAAGCTTGGTCAAAGTCCAACATCCATTAGCTTCGCGACAAGTGGCGTCCTAGGGTTTAACCCCATCCTTTTGTCTACCAATGGTTAATCTATCTAACTAACCTCTAATTATCTCCTAATATCTTGAAAAATAATATCCCTTTACACAAAATTCACCTAGTCGCCAAAATTTTATCGTACTTATCGCACTAATGGATTCCACGTCCAATATACACTATTAATGTCACATGAACTAACTTATACTGAGAAAATGATCTAAAAACTATACTCACTTATAAAATATCTAGAAAATTAATATAATAGAATAAAGTAAAAAAAAATTAATGCGAAAAATTAAAATAAATAATATAAAATAAGGGAATTTTTACGGGTCCTTACACCCTTCTTCTCATTTTTGGCAACCTTTACTACAAAACTAATTTGTCCAAAACACCACATTTGTCATTTTCTTATTTCAGCATTATTTACGAAAATTCGCCGTAAAATGTACACAGGTTTTATGAAGAAAAGACAAAAGAATTCACCCAATAGTTTGTGTACTTAAAGGCCTTATTCTAATATAATAAATAAGAGCTATGCCCTTAAAGAAAAATAAAGGGAACAAAGAGGAGACGTGCTTACATCACACAACTGTTTTACAACTGTACCCTAGAAGCAATGGTCCAATTCTAATATAATAAATAAGAGCTATGCAGAAATAAAGGGAACAAAGTGGAGACGTGCTTACATCACACAACTGTTTTACAACTTTACCCTAGGAGCAATCCGATGCATGGACCAGTAGAAACAACTTCGGGAACAAAGAAAATATGAAAGCAGCAGCTAAAGAGGTAATGAAACATCATGGATGACAGCCATATTGTGGTCAAACGTATTACAGGTTCAAAGCAAAGATTCTCTAGGCTCAATTCAAATGGTAATGGATATACAGTACTCAAGACCAATTGCAGGGATGTCCACTCGAAAGTGTGACCTTGGCCATAAACAGAAAGGGGAAACGATCCAGGTTTATTTGCAAAAGAAAACCAAGCAGGAAGACTATGCTCTTCTTTTCCAGAAGTATATGAATCAAAGACAGTTTAAAAATGAATACACCAAAAAAAAAACTTAAGCAGCTCAAACGATCATTGGCTAAATACTAATGATCTACCAAAAATCACACACGTTGAAGATATTGGGTAAGAAGCAAAATAACATCAATAAGCATTGCCACCCAAAGGCCTGATACAAAAAAGACTACAAAAAGAAGCACAAAGATGCATTTCCAGAAACGGATTTTAGCATCAGGAAACTATCCATGACACAACATGATATTCCACTGAACATCTACAAGATTAAGCAAACAACATAACATGCTATTGACCCGTGAATCTTCTTATGAGAGTCAATTAATGCTCTAGCTTTATGTTTGGCACTAACTGCAAAAGCTCCTCAGGGAAATGACCTACATATCCACACATCACAGAAATTTACGAGAGTTCAACAATTTTTGGGCGTTTATTGGATGCTTGCATCCTGGACACATCACTACAGGAATTTTCACCAGCACCATTGAACATCTTTTCTTCATCATTGCTACTATCACTACCAACTTCCTCATTACTTTTAATATCATGGTCATCGTCATCATCACTGATGCTAACACTAGCAGCCAAGGTTGGCTGGGAACCAGCCATTGCAGACTCAGCAGCAGCAACAGCCTCAGCAGTATGAAGATCAGCAACTCCCAGCATTAAATCCATTTCAATATATTCTGACTCATTACCATGAAGCACTTCAAGATCATATTTTTCAGCGTTGTTCTTTGCATCATATTGCAGTCTTTTATTCGCTTCTGATATGACTCCCAAAAAGTCCTTCACTTTTCCAAGAATATTACTTTCAGGAACAGCGCATATATCGGGTTTCTTATCAGGAATACAAACGCCTTCTGGTTTTGCAGTTTGCACAAAATCATCTTTTTTGCAAAATAGAAGCTTTGACTCTATAGAAGAGGCAGAGTAGTTGCCGTTCTCCTCCGAGTCCAAAAGATCTTTGCTTTTTGCTTCAATTCAAATATAATCATGACACATATTAGCCAACATTTCAGTGCATATACGCTCTAAGTATGAGCATCACCCACTAAAGAACACTCACAATTATAAGCATGCATTATAGATGACTCTGGTTGTGGTTTGACTATGCTTAGTTGGCCACCATCCTCGTTGGCGACAGTAGCTGCTGCCTCATTGCAATAATTTATGAACTTGGTTGGTTCCTGAAGAGCAGAACACAAGCTGTCAGAAGAACTCAAAAACATATGCAAAAGCAAGGTCAATATGTCAAATAAATAAGCACAAATTCAATGCACAGCCTCAGTTCAGAAGAAAGCAAGTTATTGGGAGAAGCTCTCTCTGTCTCTCTACAATCTCAAGATAACAGGCTGTCTGATGACAAATTTACTTTTCCTTTCCAGCAAATTCTAGAAATAGCAGATCTTTTGTGTTCATGGAGACTAGTTAGCTCCATGAACAGATATAATATGATATTTGGTAGGGAAAGGAATGAACTTCCCTTCCTTTTCACCCATGCCACCCAAACCAAATAATAGAATGAAGCTCTAAACCCAACTAACTATATGTAATCCAACTTTAGCCAAATCCCATGTTTTTTTCCAGCATTGAGCACCACCTGGATATCAATCTTCACTCCCTTAAAATTTTAAATGGTACCCTCACCATCATAATGTCCAACATGTAGAAAACCAGAGCATGGGAGAGAGGATAGATTACTGGTGCAGAAAAGAGAAAAAAAGTAAGGTAGGAGAGCTATGGACAAAGAAGGAAAGCAAATTCTTTTTTTTTTCCCTGGATTGGTGGGGAAGGGCGGGCAGCGGGGTGGAAACGTAATAAAAGTTGAGCTTTGCTAATTAGATAACTGGAGATGGATGTGGAAGTGGAGATGAAGCTCAGACCGAAGGATCTGTGTAGTGAGATTGATGGTTGCTGATGATCAACAAAAAGACCATCTTCTAAAAGTTGCTATCTATTTGGATCATCAGTGATCTCAACAACATGCTACCTCCTTGAACTTGAGAATAAAGGAAATAAACAGCCTATCTTGGTTATGCATTTCCTGTTTGCAACATATGGTGGTTCAATTGTACATGCTGACAGAAGAATTGACAAAGTATGATAACAAAGAAAGGAAGACCGAGCTGGAGAACTAAGGCTAGTGAATCAGAAAGAAATGTCAATGTTGCCTACGGAGTATAGGGAACACCCAAAAAGGAAGGCTCAAGGCTGAAGAAAGTAAACAGAAAACATGGTGAAAGCTGTAAAATTCTATTGATAAACCTTGTTACCAAAGTGGTATCCACGCATCCACTTGCTGTTTGTGAAAAGAGATCCAATCCTGCCAGTAAGCATTGTCAGGAGCTGCATGACATTGAAAATACAGTGACAGCTACATGAACCTTGTTTGACAATTGCACTATGATATTGTCCAATCATTGGTCAAATATTCATCATTTAGTGATCCTTGATGCTCTACTCTAAACCTGGGACAATCCATAGTTTACTCTCAGATTGGCTCATTTATACACTACACAATTCCCTCAAGTTTCCCTAATGAAATTAGATTAGGAGCTTTCCAAGACTGCCTAACTATAAAAGTGCCTTAACCTAAACTGCCCACCAAATTTACATGCTCACGTCCAGTATTGTTTCAGGAGTAAAAGAGTACACTTAACAACCATACTACAGCTTCCTTCCCTTCACATGGACATGTATCCACAATTTTCTGTGCACAGGCAAGCACAGATGTAAATATCTCAATTTATGCGCTACATCAAAAAAGCATTTCTGCCATAACACCTGTTTAACACTAACAAAAGAGTTAATGAACCCATAGCACATATTCACCAAGACATAGAAGGATCTACAATTTTATGTCCACAAAAATCTTTCATTTTGGTTTTGAGTTGGAGGCATAGCTGACAATCTCAGTCCAAATCCATTTAGTTATCCAAACCTGCCTATGATGTGAAAAGCTTGGCCAGGTTATTGTTTTTAAAGAATCAAACTAATTGAGCTTATTCTAACCCCAAAAGGTTAAAAAAAATTCATTGGGACCATATGCAACCACTTTCCCCATTCACCTCATGCAATTCTTTAATATCGATGATGAAACAAGAACATCAAGTTTCCAGCCCACCATCAGAACGATATCAGCAGTTAACCATTCACTACTGTAAGTTCCTCTCCGCTGTGTTTTTTCCAGAAACAGTGCTCTATCATCTTCTATTCAGCATTACCTGATCTAAATTTGCAACTTTTAATCTGCCAATTTATTGATGGAATGTTTCTTTCTGGTTTCTTCTTCTCCTTTTACTTTTGTACATCAGAAACCGGCTGCAGTATAAGAAAAAACTAGAAACACAAAAATATCAAAGAATAAATACAAAATTCAGGAACGAAATACATGAACATGGCTCCCAGAACATATCTTTTCCACCCAAATTTACAAGACAAGAACACATTCTCACAAGCACACACAAAATGGGAGAAAAGGAATTGAAGCCAGTTTAGAGTTCGAACATGTAAACAGAAACACTATCAACTTATTATTATTCCCTCAATCTTTCATGGGAACAAGATTATTGGGACACAAAAAACTAAGACAGAAATCAAACTAAAGCTTATAATCCACATGCAGTAAGTGCTTTCGAGAGGACAAATTAAAGGGCTCAATCTCCTCCAACATGCGCCAGAAACTTAAATTCTGAGGTCGTTTTCAGCTGACGCTTAGATTCCGAGTTAAGATAATTACGAAGCTCCAACTGAAGGCAAAACCAATGTTCTTTTTCACGAAATAACACACCAAACTGTTCTCACATTGAAGAAATCTCGATTAGGTGGTTATTGCAATATTAGAAAAACAGAACAACTCCCCCAATTATCGAGAAATTGCATGTTTCTACAATTTTTCTTCTGGAAGCAGAAAAATCAAAGAAAGACAAAAGCATTAAAATATATAGTGAACACTTGAAAAACAAGAGTTTTCGTTTTTGAAGTAGAATTAAGCAGATAAAGAAACGTACTACGAGAATAAATAAGCTTACCCGATCGGTATCCATGTCCTTTGTGACCTTTGAGGGCCTCACAACTCTCTTCCCTAAATTCAAATTCAAATTTCAATCAAAACCCACCTCACAAATGAATAGAATATGGTTTCTGTTCAACAAAAATATGAAAAATTATAAAATAAAATTTGCACCTACTAGTTTGAGGGGCATTGCCATGGCGATTGGGAGGAATTGATTTCTTCTTTCGTTGGCATTTGAAAAGATAGCTCTTTTGGGTCATTCTTCTTTTAGAATTGTTGAATAATCTCTCAATTGCTGTGTTCTGGGTGGCGATTATGGTTTAAATTGAAATGTTAGGGTTTTTGAAGCTTGGGGGTTTATATGTTCATGTCGGCAAGAAAATAGTAAAAAAAAAAATTCATTATTTTATATTCTGAATTTTAATAACCCCCTGTTGTCTCGGTGAGTTACGTCTAGCTCCCATATAGTTTAAAAGTCCATTTTTTTAACCCTTTCAGTTTTGGACTAAAAATGTAAAATGAGGGAAAAGTTATTAGATAATTTACTAAAACGAAAAAAGAAACTTAACACAACCATTTTCATCTCATGATATGAACCAAATTAACATTATGCAATATTATGGGAACTATAGTGAATTAGCAACAACAATTAGCATTATGCAATTATGCAAGTAACAATTGTTGATCTTTAATCTTACAGAATTATTTGATATATTCTTTACCTCTAATTTTCACTTTTTTCACATGAACCAAATTAGCATTATGCAAGTATTTTGGGAGCTATTAATAGCAAATTATTGAAAAAAGTTTTTCTCTTTATTCTTGTAGTTCGTGTAACTTTTCATGGCACTAATTTGAGCTGCATAATAGATAGCCATAACTATTTTGTTAGTTTGATATTTACTTATTTTTTTCCAAAATTACAAAAGGCGAATTGGTAGAATTTTAAAACATATGGAGGTTGTTATTAGAATCCTCAAACGATGTATGGGTTATTTACACTTACCTAGTTGTAGAATATTTTCCAAACAAGGTTTATGGGAAAACGAATTTGGAATTTGTCCATGCAAGTTTATGGCTGTGATGGTAGATGTTAACGTACTGCAACTAGTTATCTTAACAAAAGAAGTAGATTGGTTTAGGATATTCGAAATTGGAATTGCAAGTTTGAGAAATTATAAGATCAGAACATAGATAGAATTGTAAAATTTTCGTATACTATATAAAAAGCAATTTGCTTGGCACTATTCATCCATTTTCGACAGCCTGTTTTGGGTTACTTCAGTAATTTCATAGACGTGGCTTAGCTATTTTTTAACTTTGGGCACAATTGATAAGAGCAAGGATTGCTGTCGGAATTATGCTTTTGCCGTTAGTTTTGTTCGAATGTGGCTATTGCATGTGAGATGATATTAATGATTGGCAATTGCTTGGTTAGTGTACATATTTGCATTTGCCGATTAACGTATGCTAATTAATGTTGTACATTAGTAGTCCAGATAGAGTACATTTTTGGAATTGGCAATTAATTCTTTAGGTTAATTTTTTCTCAAAATGTACTACAATTGTCATGAAGCATTGAATCTGTTTCAAATTTTTTAGATAAAATTTTAAACTAAAATATTAAATCCTTCCCCACTCCCTCTTTCTATTTCTCAGTACACGTGACTAAAATTTGATCTTACTAAAAAAAAACATTCACTATTTTGGTTTCTTAATAATTTATTTTATCCTATCTTCCATTGTTCTTTTAGAAAAAGTTTTAGTAAAAAGCTTTTGAATTTTGGATTTTCTCTCTTAGCTATTTGATTAGTTGTGCAAGTCCAATCAAATCTTTTGAAAGATTTAGTTGATCAATTCTTGGTTTTGATGATTAATGAAATAAAATTATGATTTGAACTAATATTTCAAGTGAGTTTTTCATTAGTACAGGTGGCCAAATAATTGACAAAGGAAAGGAAGCAAACCAAAAAGGAATAAAATTTTTCGCGGAGCATCGGATGCACACCAAGAGGATCGGGCATCTGAAAGATAAAGTGAAAATTAGTTCTAATAATCGGACGATGGATCAAACGCATAGCTGCACTATTAGACGTCCAACAGATTAAAAGGAAACTTTAGAATTCTCTGTTTCTATCAGACGCATCTTTTGGATGTCTGAAACTCATAGCAAAAACTCATTCAACATACCTTCGGACGCAATGTCGGATGCAAAACAATTGGATTGGACGTCTGACAAGGTGTCGGATGCAGGATCGTATGTTTGACAATTTTGACTGCTAGTTTTTCAATAATACGTTTTTTTTTTTTACTATTGGAGAGATTTTTTGGGTAAATTTTCACTATCTATAAATGTCCCTAAATCTATAAATATGAAAGACTTTGTCTACATGAGATACAGCCTTTCAAGAGTGATTTTTGAATAGAAAATACTTTGAATATTGTATAGGTGTGGGGTAAGTTCTTGGTTGTATGAGGTATCTCATTGAGGAGGAGTAAAACTATGAAAAAGATGAACCTTACTTGTAAGTGTTTTTCATTGTTAAGATGAGCATTCAATTGTAGTTTAAAGAGGGTTAACTAAAGAAAGTTGTAAAATTTCTTGGCTCAACTTCTCTTGGCTCAACTAAAGTTGGGATACTTAGTGTGAATAAGGGGTGAGCCCTTTTTCGTACAACTTGGTTTGTATCACCAACAATTGAAAGAAGTGCTTGGTTGATTCAACTTCAAATTTGGGAAAAACTTGAGAGTTTGTTTGGAGAATCCTTGAAAAATTTCAAACTTTTGTGTTGTCGATAATGTGGAGGCACTACTATACTCTCGAGATTGGTTATATCACAGTGAAGGGCAAATTAGATATCCAGTTGAATTGGCTTTTAATTTTCAGTAGCTTAGGAAAGATTTTTGTAGTTTCTTTAATTATTTTCTTCATTGGTAGACTAAATCTGCTAAATTTTCAGAGTGTCCTGATAAAGATTTTGAAGTTGAACAAGAAAACGAGGAGCATGATCTTGAAATTGATATTAGTAGATTTATTGCTCAAGAAGATGCATTTTCAAATGTTGATACTTAGCATGTCATGTGAACTCATTATTTTAGGATACTTGTTATTGCTCTCTACTATTATTCTAGTTAGAGATGGGATATGTGTTTGATTTGAATGCATAAGTTTGATTTCTTTGAGACTTTGAATAGTTCTAACTTTTGCTACTTTGAATATCCAAAAAATGATATTACTTTTTAGTTATTGCTCTCTACTGTGATGTAAGTGTCAAACTTTGCTTTTTTGTTGCTTCATATCACTTATAATTTCGTGATATTATTTAGTTGTTTTTCAAAATTTTGAATTCATTTTTGCTGGAAGATAATCTTGAGTTAAATGATCAACTGCACATTCTTCAAATTAGAGTACTGCAGTATAGGAAATTTGAAATGGAAAATGGAGGGGTAAATAGCAGATACATGGAGGATTCTCGTTGGTGTTGATAGAATTCCCATTTCACACAAGTTTCAATTTGGGAATTGTATGTCTGGCTTTATCTGCCTACAAAATAGTATTTGATCTCATCTATTGTATGTTTGTCATTTGCCACCTTTTAGTTTTAGCTGCTTGAAGTTACAAATGGAAACAAATTATTCAACAATCACTACTGGTTGCCCTTATCGTCTCAAAATGGTGCCCACCTTGCGTGGTATCGGCTAATAAGTTTGTGGAAATTGATTGTTTTAGTTAGTTTGAAATTTCTCTTTGCTAGATGGACTACTATAATTGTTTCGCCCTCCTTTAGTGAAGTACCTCTTGATCATTTGTTTGGAAATATATGATTTATAGCCTTAGGATTGGTAGAAGAATTTTCTGAATGAAAATAACAAAACTAATTGTAGGATTCCCTTCCATTGCCTATTTTTCTTTCTTTGTACAGGAGCTTTTAGAACTCAAGAAATCCCTCAATGTTGAAGTAAATCAGTTTTAATCAGTGAGTGGCCATTTTTATCGTCTCTCAAACGCTTTTGGCTAATCTATTTTCCTACTAACTTACTGGCTTATAATAGCATTTCTTCTAACATTGGCTTCATGAATTTGGCAGATTTCTTTCAAGGCAAGTGAAAGATATGTCTAGGAGTTCTTTCAAAGCATTGAACCCGGTAGCTCTGAGAGGATGGGGACTTTTGGAGTTTGACAATACAACTAGTCGAACATTATATTTTGTTTCTTGTTCTGTTTATCTATAGGTTAAGCTGATGGACAAAACTAATTTGCTATTTTGAATCAATCTATCATGTTTCTAAAGATTATGCAATACTAGTAATGCATTTTATAACCATAGCAGTGGTGAGAAACTTATAACCATAGCAACAAGGAGAAAATAGTATGCACAGCAATAAGGGGAAGCTTTTGCGCTAGTGCACTTTGTATTTTTAATTTATAAGTTTCTTTTATGTTTATTTTTTGGGTCAAAATTTCAATTTATAACTTTCTTTAAGGCATGATTGGATCTTTTATAAGACTAGAAATATGTCTAGTATAGCTAATGCTAAACCAAGTACCAAGACCTAGAAAATTGTATATTGGTATTGCCATTTTTCATGCTATATCTCGCTTGGAACAAAATTGTTTGCTTCGGTCTCTTAGTTTGGACGAAAGCTATATCCAATTTGAAAATCCTTACTTGGATAAAAAGTAATGAGTTCATCCAAGTAGTTTAAATAGTTAGTATGTGTGTGTGTTTGTGAAAGTATATTAGTGTGTATTTTAGTGTGTTTATGTGTGTAAAAATAATATATTTCTGAAAAGCTTAAGAAGTGAGTGTGTGTTTGTATGTGTGAAAGTGTTGTAGTGTGCGAAAATATGTTTATCTATGTGAAAATGTGTTTACATGTATGAAAAAGATTTTTTTGTATGTGAAAATGTATGTGAGAGAGTTTATGTATCAAAATCTCTTAATTAATATAGTGGGTCATATTTGGGTCATGAGTTTGAGGTGACCCAATATGACCCAACCCAAAATCAACCAAATCTAAAGTTGAGTAGGTTGGGTATAACTCATTTAAGTGAATATCCAATATAAACCCGCCCAAAATCTGTCCAACTCGTCTAGTTGCCAAGAATAATGATGCTGAATCAAATTGGAGTTTAAACGAGAATACATCCACTTCATTTGATAATGCCTTTGGAATGAATCTTGAACTTCAAAAGGAAAGTGTGAATGACTTATATTTAAGCCCTCTTAAGGTGTGTTTTGAAAGTGTAAGTTCTAAAGACATTATCATCCAAAAAATTCATAAAAATTCATGCAGACACTCCTTTGATGAGCTCCCAAGTGATGCAATTTCAAAGT